TTAAGCTGCTACAAGTGTGTGGAGCAGCTACAAGAGAGTGTGGAGCTGCTACAAGTGTGTGTTGAGCTGCTACAAGAGTGTGTTGAGCTGCTACAAGAGTGTGTGGAGCAGCTACAAGAGAGTGTGGAGCTGCTACAAGTGTGTGTTGAGCTGCTACAAGAGTGTGTGGAGCTGCTACAAGAGTGTGTGGAGCAGCTACAAGAGTGTGTGGAGCTGCTACAAGTGTGTGTTAAGCTCGTACAAGAGTGTGTGGAGCTGCTACAAGAGTGTGTGGAGCTGCTACAAGTGTGTGGGGCTGCTACAAGTGAGTGGAGCTGTTACAAGTGTGTGGAGCTGCTACGATTTGGTGGAGCTGCTACAAGTGTGTGGAGCTGCTACAAGTGTGTGGAGTTGCTACGATTGTGTGAAGCTGCTACAAGTGTGTGGAGCTGCTACAAGTGTGTGGAGCTGCTACAAGTGTGTGGAGCTGCTACAAGTGTGTGGAGCTGCTACAAGTGTGTGGGGCTGCTACGATTTGGTGGAGCTGCTACAAGTGTGTGGAGCTGCTACGATTTGGTGGAGCTGCTGCAAGTGTGTGGTGCTGCTACAAGTGTGTGATGCTGCTACAAGTGTGTGGAGTTGCTACAAGTGTGTGGAGTTGCTACAAATGTGTGGAGTTGCTACGATTGTGTGGAGCTGCTACAAGTGTGTGTGGAGCTGCTACAAGTGTGTGTGGAGCTGCTACAAGTGTGTGTGGAGCTGCTACAAGTGTGTGGAGCTGCTACAAGTGTGTGGAGCTGCTACAAGTGTGTGTGGAGTTGGTACAAGTGTGTTTGGAGTTGCTACAAGTGTGCGGAGTTGCTACAAGTGTGTGGAGTTGCTACAAGTGTGTGGAGTTGCTACAAGTGTGTGGAGTTGCTACAAGTGTGTGGAGTTGCTACAAGTGTGTGGAGCTGCTACAAGTGTGTAGAGCTGCTACAAGTGTGTGGAGCTGCTACAAGTGTGTGGAGCTGCTACAAGTGTGTGTGGAGTTGGTACAAGTGTGTTTGGAGTTGCTACAAGTGTGTGGAGTTGCTACAAGTGTGTAGAGCTGCTACATGTGTGTGGAGTTGCTACAAGTGTGTAGAGCTGCTACATGTGTGTGGAGCTGCTACAAGTGTGTGGGGCTGCTACAAGTGCGTGTGGAGTTGGTACAAGTGTGTTTGGAGTTGCTACAAGTGTGTGGAGTTGCTACAAGTGTGTAGAGCTGCTACAAGTGTGTGGAGTTGCTACAAGTGTGTGGAGCTGCTACAAGTGTGTGGAGTTGCTACAAGTGTGTAGAGCTGCTACAAGTGTGTGGAGTTGCTACAAGTGTGTAGAGCTGCTACATGTGTGTGGAGCTGCTACAAGTGTGTGGGGCTGCTACAAGTGTGTGTGGAGTTACTACAAGTGTGCGGAGTTGCTACAAGTGTGCGGAGTTGCTTAAAGTGTGTGGAGCTGCTACAATTGTGTGGGGCTGCTACAAGTGTGTGGAGCTGCTACAAGTGTGTGGAGCTGCTATAAGTGTTTGGAGCTGCTACAAGTGTGTGGAGCTGCTACAAGTGTGTGGAGCTGCTACAAGTGTGTGGAGCTGCTACAAGAGTATGGAGCTGCTACAAGTGTGTGGAGTTGCTACAAGTGTGTGGAGTTGCTACAAGTGTGTGGAGTTGCTACAAGTGTGTGGAGTTGCTACAAGTGTGTGGAGTTGCTACAAGTGTGTGGAGTTGCTACAAGTGTGTGGAGTTGCTACAAGTGTGTGGAGTTGCTACAAGTGTGTGGAGTTGCTACAAGTGTGTGGAGTTGCTACAAGTGTGTGGAGTTGCTACAAGTGTGTGGAGCTGCTACAAGTGTGTGGAGCTGCTACAAGTGTGTGGAGCTGCTACAAGTGTGTGGAGCTGCTACAAGTGTGTGGAGCTACTACAAGTGTGTGATGCTGCTACAAGTGTGTGGAGCTGCTACAAGTGTGTGGTGCTGCTACAAGTGTGTGGTGCTGCTACAAGTGTGTGGTGCTGCTACAAGTGTGTGTGGTGCTGCTACAAGTGTGTGTGGTGCTGCTACAAGTGTGTGGTGCTGCTACAAGTGTGTGGTGCTGCTACAAGTGTGTGGAGCTGCTACAAGTGTGTGGAGCTGCTACAAGTGTGTGTGGAGCTAGTGTGGTGTAGTGTGGAGCTATTCTTCACTCAGTGAGCACCAGTTAAGACTTCACTTAGTTGACTTGCGACCTAAATGGGCTGCACTCGGGTCTTAGCTCCTACAAATTATCTATTCTTTTTACTCACCTCAGAGTGTAACAAATCTTAAAACTGGTCAGAGATTTCGTTTATTAAAGAGAATCTTTCTGTGTTCCTGCCTGCGTCATCATTCATATTTAGAAACTCATTCTTTGCCTCATTGCACTTTACAATGGCTTCGTTTGAGTCGAAAATATGTTTTATGTATTTGTGGCATGAACGCAAAAATCCCCAGTACCAGTGAAGTTTATATTTTGGCCAGGATACCAGTGGTACATGTGGTTAGGGCTACCTGAGGTGTGGCTAGGGCTACCTGATGTGTGGCTAGGGCTACCTGAGGTGTGGCTAGGGCTACCTGAGGTGTGGCTAGGGCTACCTGAGGTGTGGCTAGGGCTACCTGAGGTGTGGCTAGGGCTACCTGATGTGTGGCTAGGGCTACCTGAGGTGTGGCTAGGGCTACCTGATGTGTGGCTAGGGCTACCTGAGGTGTGGCTAGGGCTACCTGAGGTGTGGCTAGGGCTACCTGATGTGTGGTTAGGGCTACCTGAGGTGTGGCTAGGGCTACCTGAGGTGTGGTTAGGGCTACCTGATGTGTGGTTAGGGCTACCTGAGGTGTGGCTAGGGCTACCTGAGGTGTGGTTAGGGCTACCTGAGGTGTGGCTAGGGCTACCTGATGTGTGGCTAGGGCTACCTGAGGTGTGGCTAGGGCTACCTGAGGTGTGGCTAGGGCTACCTGAGGTGTGGTTAGGGCTACCTGAGGTGTGGTTAGGGCTACCTTAGGTGTGGCTAGGGCTACCTGATGTGTGGCTAGGGCTACCTGAGGTGTGGCTAGGGCTACCTGAGGTGTGGTTAGGGCTACCTGAGGTGTGGCTAGGGCTACCTGAGGTGTGGCTAGGGCTACCTGAGGTGTGGCTAGGGCTACCTGAGGTGTGGTTAGGGCTACCTGATGTGTGGTTAGGGCTACCTGAGGTGTGGTTAGGGCTACCTGAGGTGTGGTTAGGGCTACCTGAGGCATAACCAGGAGTCTCGCCAATGTTACATGTGGCTAGGGCTACCTTAGGTGTGGCTAGGGTTACCTGAGTTGTGGCTAGGGCTACCTGAGGTGTGGCTAGGGCTACCTGAGGTGTGGCTAGGGCTACCTGAGGTGTGGCTAGGGCTACCTGATGTGTGGCTAGGGCTACCTGAGGTGTGGCTAGGGCTACCTGAGGTGTGGTTAGGGCTACCTGAGGCATAACCAGGAGTCTCGCCAATGTTACATGTGGCTAGGGCTACCTTAGGTGTGGCTAGGGTTACCTGAGTTGTGGCTAGGGCTACCTGAGGTGTAGCTTGGGCTACCTGAGGCATAACCAGGAGTCTCGCCAATGTTACATGTGGCTAGGGCTACCTTAGGTGTGGCTAGGGCTACCTGATGTGTGGCTAGGGCTACCTGAGGTGTGGCTAGGGCTACCTGATGTGTGGCTAGGGCTACCTGATGTGTGGCTAGGGCGTCCTGATGTGTGGCTAGGGCTACCTGAGGTGTGGCTAGGGCTACCTGAGGTGTGGTTAGGGCTACCTGAGGCATAACCAGGAGTCTCGCCAATGTTACATGTGGCTAGGGCTACCTTAGGTGTGGCTAGGGTTACCTGAGTTGTGGCTAGGGCTACCTGAGGTGTAGCTTGGGCTACCTGAGGCATAACCAGGAGTCTCACCAATGTTACATGTGGCTAGGGCTACCTGAGGTGTGGCTAGGGCTACCTGAGGTGTGGCTAGGGCTACCTGAGGTGTGGCTAGGGCTACCTGATGTGTGGCTAGGGCTACCTGAGGTGTGGCTAGGGCTACCTGAGGCATAACCAGGAGTCTCACCAATGTTACATGTGGCTAGGGCTACCTGAGGTGTGGCTAGGGCTACCTGAGGCATAACCAGGAGTCTCACCAATGTTACATGTGGCTAGGGCTACCTGAGGTGTGGCTAGGGCTACCTGAGGTGTGGCTAGGGCTACCTGAGGTGTGACTAGGGCTACCTGAGGTGTGGCTAGGGCTACCTGAGGTGTGGCTAGGGCTACCTTAGGTGTGGCTAGGGCTACCTGAGGTGTAGCTAGGGCTACCTGAGGCATGGCCAGGTGTCTCACCAATGTTACATGTGGCTAGGGCTACCTGAGGTGTGGCTAGGGCTACCTGAGGTGTGGCTAGGGCTACCTGAGGTGTGGCTAGGGCTACCTGAGGTGTGGCTAGGGCTGCCTGAGGTGTAGCTAGGGCTACCTTAGGTGTGGCTAGGGCTACCTGAGGTGTGGCTAGGGCTACCTGAGGCATGGTCAGGTGTCTCACCAATGTTACATGTGGCTAGGGTTACCTGAGGTGTGGCTAGGGTTACCTGAGGTGTGGCTAGGGCTACCTGAGGTGTGGCTAGGGCTACCTGAGGCATGGCCAGGTGTCTCACCAATGTTACATGTGGCTAGGGCTACCTGAGGCATGGCCAGGTGTCTCACCAATGTTACATGTGGCTAGGACTACCTAAGGTATTGATATCAGTGTGCAACACCGCCCCAAGCAGGGCTGTGGGGTGCTAAATCTTTCCGTTGATGATAATTGTTACCCGTCTATTGATTATTATTGAACCCAACTATCCATCACACACACCTCTATTGATCCTAATACCATCACTCAACTCTTTGCTGGTACTGTCACCTGTGCAACTTTCACTCATGTTAAATAAGACGGGCATGCTTCTTAAGATCAAATGTAACAGGGTTCGATCCCTTGATCAAATGTCAGCAAAAGTTAAGGGTTCCCCACCTGTCTGTTGGTGTCGAAGTTGATCATGGTGCGGTTGTGGTACCAGAAGACGTACTCAGGCGTCTGTGTGTGCTGACGTAGAGTGCAGTTGAGTACCACTGCACTCCCCTCCTGCACGTGCATCTCCGGCCCTCCGGCGATCTCAGCCGACGCTTCTGGAGGTGGCCAAGATGGTTGAGTAATTAAGTGTCTGTCTTAATAACTCACTCACACACACTCTTCCTTTTTCTTCTTCTTCTTTCTCTCTCTCTCTCTCTCACTCTCTTTCTCATTCTCGCTGTCTCTGTCTGTCTGTCTCTCTCTGTCTCTCTCTCTCTCTCTCTCTCTCTCTCTCTCTGTCTCTGTCTCTGTCTCTCTCTCTCTCTCTGTCTCTCTCTCTCTCTCTCTGTCTCTCTCTCTCTCTCTCTCTCTCTCTCTCTCTCTCTCTCTCTCTCTCTCTCTCTCTCTCTCTCTCTCTCTCTCTCTGTCTCTCTCTCTGTCTCTCTCTGTCTCTCTCTGTCTCTGTCTCTCTCTCTGTCTCTCTCTCTGTCTCTCTCTCTCTCTGTCTCTGTCTCTCTCTCTGTCTGTCTGTCTGTCTGTCTCTCTCTCTCTCTCTCTCTCTCTCTCTCTCTCTCTCTCTCTCTCTCTCTCTCTCTCTCTCTCTCTCTCTCTCTGGTGGCCTGGTGGATACTCACGTGTGATGGTGAGTGTGGAGATGAAGACCATGGGTGGATGGGTGGAGAGTTGACACACGTACTCCCCAGCATCCCTGGCCTGGGCGTACCGCAGGTGGAGCGTCCACTCCTGTCAAGGGCAATCATTCATCTGTATTGATGTACATGACAATATATTTGCTTCATTATCATATACATTGCTATTAGGCTCTTCACACCTCCCTTCTCCTCACACTACTTCTCTTTTACCACTATCATCTCTTCGTTCCACCATTTCCTCTTGTTCCTCTATCCTCGTTTCCTCTGGAAGTCTCTTATCCACCTTGCCGATTTTATCTTCCCTCTCCTTGGCTTTTATCCATTTGCCCTCATTTCTGATTCTTCCCTCTCCCTTCGTCACACTTCTCTTCCTCTCCAATCTTCCCCCCGCCCCCTTTCTCTCTCTTCCCTTCGCATCTCCTCTCCACTTCCTCCATCCTCCTCTCTCTCTTTTCTCTGCCAGTCTCCTCCACCTCTATCTCATTTATTCTTCCCCTCTCTTTCATTTCTCTCCCCTACCCGTTTCTCATGTTAGTTCATTTCTTCTTTTTCTCTTCTTCTTCTGTTCCCCTCTCTCCTCCCATCTTTTTAATCTTACTATCTTCCTCTTCTATCCTCTGCTGTATTCTTCCTCTACCCATTCTCCTGTTTCTACTCTCGCCCGCCTCTTCTCTTCCGTCCTCTTTTTAATTTCTTACTTTCTCTCTCTTCTCTCTACTTCTCCCCCTATCCCATTTCTACTTTACCACCGCCCATTTCTCTCTTTTAATTTTCCTCTTCCCTATACTCTGCTTTCCCCTCCATTCCTCTCTTCTCTCCTTTCACTTCTCCTTTTCTCTTCTCCCGCTTCGCTTTCCTCACTTAAATCTATAAATAATTCATTTTCGAAACAGACAAATGGGAAGCTTTACAAATGCTTCAAAGAGGATGTTAAATGCATGTTAAATCCTGATCTTCCCAGGTACCCAACTAATTATTACTCTTTTTTATTTGCAAAATGAGCAACGCGGTCCACTGTAAACTCTAAAACATGTGACTTCTGTTCGAAACAATTTATAATAGTTAGGTATTGGGTATGTGTGATCCCTAATTATAATTCCTTACATAAGAGATATAAATTTTCGTTTCCCCGATTGTTCAAGGCCTTTCGTGTTGTCTACACTATTTTGACTCATTTTATTATTAGGGGAGGATTTACTGGGCGCAATTCCTTAACTGTAGCCTCTGTTTAACGCAACAGTAAAATGTGTACTTGGATGAAAAAACGATTCTTCGCGGCAGGGGATCGTATTCCAGGGACCATAGGATTAAGGACTTGCCCGAAACGCTACGCGTACTAGTGGCTGTACAAGAATGTAACAACTCTTGTATATATCTCAAAAAAAAAAAAAAAAAAAAAAAAAAAAAAAAAAAAAAAAAAAAATTATTAAACCCAGACATGCGTCTAAACGCTTTAACATATTGTATGATTAAACTAAAAGCATATGTGTAAACCATAATAATGCGTGTTATTAAATGAAGGGCAAATGTCTAAACCATAAAAGCGTGTATTTTAAACCCTATCTTGAGGTTATCTTGAGATGATTTCGGGGCTTTTTAGTGTCCCCGCGGCCCGGTCCTCGACCAGGCCTCCACCCCCAGGAAGCAGCCCGTGACAGCTGACTAATACCCAGGTACCTATTTTTACTGCTAGGTAACATGGGCATAGGGTGAAAGAAACTGCCCATTGTTTCTCGCCGCCGCCTGGGATCGAACCCAGGACCACAGGATCACAAGTCCAGCGTGCTGTCCGCTCGGCCGACCGGCTCCCTTATGCATGAGTGAAAACTATTAAAGCACAGTATATGTATCCTCGTGAAACGGTTGTATACATAGTAACTATGTGAGAGAAAGTACCCACAGGTAGTGATGGAGAGCAAGTACCCATAAGTAGTGATGGGAAGAAAGTAAACCACCTTTTGTACTAAAATCTCTATCGAGTCCGGGAACATCATGCTAAAATCCTAATGTAAATATTCCCAAGCCTAGCATGGCACTTATATGTATAATATTAGTCCTAAGATAGCGTGTATGAGACCTAGGATTCTAAGCATAGTTTAGATTAGTCGGGTCTTATATTAATGTTGCGGCTTAAAGGTTTCTAGTTTGTCCAAAATCAATACTACAAAGTCAAATTCCTGTTCATCCATGACTAGATATTGGTACTTTCTCCCAAATAGTTACTATAAGTACTGTAGTTATAGGAGGATGGACTGATGTATGATTAAACCCAAGAATCGTGTGTGACCCATTTTTTGGCAATTTCTTTAAAGTTTTATTCAGATATGCAAAAGACGCAACAGATTTCGAATATATTGGATTTTTTATTACTTACAGATTATTATATAAGTTTTTTGGTAATATTTAATGACCAATTTCAGAATACATTCATACAGCAATATCGCCACGTTTTTTTTTAAATAAAATATTAAACTATCATGTACATTAGTAGCTTCTTACAATATAATTAACTACATAGATCATCCAGGTCTCAATTATATACCAATAATTTAATACTTCTCATATAATATATAAATTTATATGCAAATTAGTTGGATGTTATTGTTATTTGCGGAAAAATTTCATATCAGATACAAAATTTTATTGAAAACTGTAATATATTAATCAGATTTTCAAATTCCATCTGCACTTTGAAAATGTATTTCTAATACTAAAATATTGAAACTACTTGATAGGATTTACATGTATAAAGGTGAAATATTTAAAAAAAAAATGAAAAATTGCAAAGGTTTGAGTGTGTTTTGAAGTATGTTTTTACAAAGCATTAAACTTTTTTTGTTTTTTGTTTACGCAAACACTCGAGATCCGGGAAGAGCCTCAAAATCATGTTCGAGATTTGGAATGATCTTCGAGGAGTCTGCAAGCTTCACTGATGCTGGGATCTGGAGAGATCCCGGAAAGGTCAGGAGTCAGTAGTGAGGAATCTCGCACTTCACAAAGATGTGTAAGGTAAAAATCCTAGGTACAAAATATGATGCTGTGGAAATAGTATTTGGTAAATATCATAGCCTAGGCTATAATTAATCATAGTAAAGATAGTTGGCAGTACAAAAAAAAATGGTTACAATTCACATGATCAGATTTAAGACATTTAGATCGACATTTAGACACAGACATCGACATTAAGACGTAGATAAACATTTAATAGACGTGCTTGGCTACCAGAGGTCAATGTTGCAATGTCAAGCCCCCGTTTTAAGAAGTTGCAATAACTATATATAGACAATGATCCCATACGAGTATTATACCTGACAACACTCAGTAATGTGAAGTTGTGGCTCAGAGCTTGACTTAAGCAGGTAGGCCATGATTTCAAAATTATTACAAATTTACGTGATATTAGAAGCTTTATTCCTATTTATATAGTAATAATGTGCATTAATAATATAGAGAATCACACTTGTTACCAGCATTCTATTCTTCACAGTTTTTTAATATGATCCCATTTATGTGTACACCCGTACACAGTGATGAGGAGGCCTGGTCAACGACCGGGCCGCGAGGACGCTAAGCCCCGGAACAACTCCAAGGTAACCCGTCTGTTTCTTTTATTCCTGGTGAGACAGAAGCCTCGTTTGTCACCTGCTTATGTATGTAATTTAATACCATATTTAAACACATGCGTAGAGCTACGAAAACTTTATGTGAGATAGATTCTAGTTTTTACAAGCGATTACTTGTAATATATGGACATGTTGGTTGAAGTATGTTGACATTTAGATACTTTGTATCTGTGAAATGGTTTTACGGTTGTTGTATATCACCTTAGTAGGAAATGTTGCCGTTAGGTTTCAACATGTCTCTTTTAGGAAGACATGCTCATGTCTCATGCAAAGAAGAAAAAAGGATTTTGAAACATAAATCTTAAATCCTTTAACATTTAATCAATATTGTTTTCCTGACAGATATATGTATTTGACTTATTACAATGGTGTTCACACCCCATACCCCTTTTCTTTGGATCACAAAATCCTGGTTGGGCACCGGTTTGGACCTCCAGAACCTCTCAATGAATTCAGAAGAGTGTCGGGTTGACGCTTTTATCCTATCGCAGTTGAGTGGGTTAAAGCAGGTGTCTGGGACTTACCAGTAAGCAGGTTTAAGTTACCTCATTGCCCATAAATCATTTTCTCATTGATATATCACGCCATTGTGATTTCTTTGTGATCTGAAGGCAATCAGGCCTCCCAATAGAACGTCGCATTTTGACGCATACTCTACCTAACGCCAAAAATTGTCGTACTAGAAAATGGTAGCGTCTCGTGAAATAAAAATACTGTCTCGTTTTCTTTTTTGGGTTTTCTGGTAGGTTAGGATAAGAGCTCTTTAGTACGACAGTTTCATGACGTTGGGAAACGTCCTCATAGAATCCTGGTTGGGCACCGATTCGGGGCTCCAGAACCTTCCAGAGCAATGGTTCTAGTGCGATTCATCTTTATTGTCCATAAACATAATGTGAAAACCCAGCGCATCAGTTCAGACTGGCTATGCTAAGCTCATACCTGTAATTTTTAATTTACTTCAATTACAATTTTACACAGCTGCAGTATTTAATTTTATGCATATATGTATTTAACTTTTATTATGCACATGCATATTAATGTATTATTGTATTGTATTATTCTTATATGTTATATTTCATTATGTTGTGTGAGTGGGTAAATGCTTGTTGCACGACTGACGGCCGGCTGGCTTCCTACCTCAGTGTGTGTGTTCGTGTATATACGTCAGAGCAGCCAACCTGTGCAGTGGTTGTTGATCCTTGTTTTCCTTATATGTATACTTATTATTATTTGTTGGTATAATTGAACATCTGCAAATGTTCCGGAATTTGTGTATTCACCTAAGTGTATTGTATGTGTTCTTTTTCTTTACTCTAAGAGGGTTTATATTTATTTACAATCTTGATATTGTTTAATTGATCTATGGAGATGGTGAAGAGCAGTCTTCACTGATCTGTTAAGTTCGGTAGGGGTCACACGTTGCTGTGTGTGCTCTGTTTGTTTGAGCAATTGTGTATTAGGGATATAT